GATAGTGTGTACGCTTGTATGTATGCATGTATACATACATATATATAGACATGGCACAGCTTTGACCATGGTCACTTTGGTATAGTGTTTTTGGCTACCTTCAGCCATTCTCTCACTGTTGTTAGTCAGTCTGTCAATCTCTGCCAGGGTCTGTCCTTCCCTATTCAAGTTCTGGCTAACCTGAAGTTTCTTCTGCATTTCTTAGCTTATCTTCTTGATACCTTCTTTCTTCCAACAATGCAGTTGCCTTCTCATGAAATTTCCCATTCAGGATTCCTCCATATTAACATATAGCATTCTAAAACATCAATCTTTTTGTAAATAAAGGCCCATCTGTGGTTTCCCCCTATTTGCGTTTTTTTTAATAATTATTTTTTAGTTACAGGTGGACACAGTATCTTTATTTTATTTTTATGTGATGCTGGGGATTGAACCCAGTGCTTCACGCATGCTAGGCGAGCCCTCTACCTCTGAGCCACAACCCCAGCCCCCATTTGCTTTTTTTATTCCCTTGTTTCCTTTCATATCATCTTGCTACTACAATATAGTACCAAGATAATGATAGTGGTATTCCCTGTCATTATAATTTCTCATAATAAACTACAAAGAATATCAACTGTTTTCTTCCCTATAGGAATTTCTCTTAACCAGTTGATTCAAAAGCAGTATTTGGGGCCARTTGATTCAAAAGCAGTATTTGAGGCATGCACAAGAGCTACTTTCTTGTCTTGTTCTCTTTTGCCTTGGTCCTCTTGCTACATCCCACCATACTTTGGCTGTGTTGTGTCCTGGAGTGGGCAGGTTGCCCTCCCTTGTCTCTGCAGTACCATGTGCTCACAGTCATCTGCCGTTGGTGCCAGGTGCCTGGTGCCTCCCACGCCTCMTGTGGCTTGGTGTAACTTGTGCTTTAACTCTGGTACTTGCTGTTCTTCCTTATTAGTACCAGAACCAACTTCCCACCCAGTCCACATGGTCGTTTTCTAATTGTTTGAGTTATGTTCATCTCATTATTTCATGAAACAACAGCTTCTCTAGGAAAAAGTGGTGGGTTACACAGTGTTGCCCTCAGAGCAAGCTGCTCCTAATCACTTGCTAGTGGATACATTAAATGGAGGGAGAGCTATAGCTGTCAGTAGAAATGCCTTATAGAATTATAAGCAGGGAAGTCACCCAGTTGAAAACAGGGAAAAAAAAGAACAAAACTTTTGATAGCTCTGGCAGCAGCTAGGGTCAACAACCTCAGTTCTAGAGGAACAGGCATTCAAAGGAGCCATTAATGAGCAGTCTGCGTTATCTCCTAAAACTAGGGCAAGCCGTGGCACTAAGATGATGACTCCAGAGGCCCTGGCAGAGGCATATGGCAAGAAGGAGTGGAAGCATTTTGTGTCTGACACTGGTGTGCCTTGCCATTCAGGTAGGACCCAAATGGGCAGCTGTACCACCCACACCCCTTTTCTTTTGGAACCTGAATCTGCAATGTGAGAATATAGAGAAGACCCTCCTCTATGTCCTTTGCTGGGCACAACATATAAGGAACAACCTCGACTTCATAACAGTAGGATGGATTTCTTTTTCTAGATATGTCTGATTTCCTTTTGGCAGCTGGTTCAGAATGCTGTTAGCAGCCTTTCACACTGTTTTAAAATTTAATTGATGCTCCTTTTACTTACACTTGTCTGGGTTAGAAAAGATAGATCAACACTTAGCAGTAATACATTCCTTAGCCATACTGTATTTTCTATCAATTTTGTCGTGTGCTCAGTCCTTGGATTCCTTTCTCCAGCTCTCATGTCTCTCCATATTCACATTGCACACCACTTCTGTTTTCCGGAATTCTCTTCCTTACTTTCAATTCTAGTATCTTCTGCCTTTTTATTTTCCTGTGTGTTTATTGGTGCTGGGGATCAAATGCTAAGCAAGTACTCTATCWCTAAATTATACTCTCAGCCCTATTTTACCACATTTTAAATGATTTTTTCACTTTTTTCTTTTCCAGTGTCTTTAACAAGCATCATTAAGACTAATTGTAAAATGATTTTTCAAAAAATTATTTCCAAACTTTCATGTGCATAAATTAAAAGGGAATGGTTAAAAAAATYTTTAAATACATAAACCTTACTAAATATTTTTTCTGCTACTTTTTCATTTGTTCTAATTTTTTTTTTGCCACTTTGTTCTTTTTCTCCCACACTACAGTGTTAAAAATGTACCTTTCTCCTTCAGAAAGTGTAGTAACCAGAAATTAGTTGCAATTATTGATTATTACTATTGGGTTTATTTTTTTATATTTGTCATTGTTTGAGAAGTAAGTGTGTTTTTGTAGTGATTGAATGTGTTAGGAAGTATACATGTTCATAATAAAATAAGTTGATATGAAAAACAGACTTCATACTGGGGTCAGATATAGAATGTTTTCATACATCTTGAGTCAAATTGAGTGCAAAACCTTTTACTCAAAATGATGATGGAGAGCTGCTGTTATCTCTCCAGAGTTTAGCAATTGTAAATAAGCTTTTCCTTTCTCCCAGAAAAGCTAGGCACATAGCTAAATGTTTCTTTTGAAAATTTATTCAGAAAGTGGAGTATTTTTTACTGCTGTGTCCACTAGAGGGCGGTACCTTCTTGAATCAACATCTCCCTCTGGTGCTTACTTTACCCCAGAGCATCCAAGTGCCCAATGTCCAGGGAGTCAGGCTGTGACACATAATAAAGGAAAGGCAATGTCTTTAAATCATAAAACTTTGTTTTAATGTTGAAACATGAAAGAAGAAAAAAAAGTCCTTAATTTCATAACCCATTTGCACTTTGTTTACATTAAAAAAGTAATCACGCATATTGTCAATTAAATATTGTAAAACTAAGGGACACTAGGCACTGAATTCCACTGAAACTTCTGAGGAGATACACAAAGAATACCTCTTAAGAGTTGTCAGTCTGGGAGACTGGAAGCTGTGATCTTCATTTACAGGCTTCTAATCCCATTAGTTGAGGGTGGCCAAGGACCTTTAGGATAAAGCAAGTAACACTATTGTGTTTTAGGTAGGTTGATGCTGTTCAGCATAGCTGTGGCTAGACTCAGATGTGGGTCCCAGGGATATGACATGGGCCATCAGAAGTACTGTCCAGGGACAACAGATCCAAAAGTGGCATATGTAAGAGTTCAGGTTTAATTCTACTCCCAAGGCCATACAAAATAAATTTAATGCCTCTCTTCCATGAGATCCTGGAGTGAGTGTACCTGTCTTGTACTCCTGCATTTTCCTAAGATAATCCACCATGTACTCACAAGGTGTAGTATTAATTCATCAGTTACCCTGGTCCTTCTTGTATTGCACTGAAATTTGCTGGCATACCAGCTGAATGCAGTACTTTTGATGGACCAACCAGCACTGGTGTGGAAAAGCAGTATTTGTGGAACTCTTCACAAAACTATTTGTTTTGGAATTTAGTGTCATTGATAGCATAAATTGTGACTTCTTCCTATTCCATTTTATATTTGCAATATATCCTGCGTATAGTTTTCATATTCTTTAAGACAACTCAATTTTTTAAATAAAATGCTTAGTTTGTTAATTTCCTGTGTATTTATTGGTGCTGGGGATCAAATGCTAAGCAAGTGCTCTATCACTAAATTATACTCTCAGCACTATTTTACCATATTTTAAATTATTTTTCACTTTTTTTTTAACCAGTGTCTTTAACAAGCATCATTAAGACTAATTATAAAATGACTTTTCAAAAAATTATTTTCAAACTTTGATGTGCATAAATTAAAAGGAAATAGTTAAAAAATTTTTCTAGATAGATAGACCTTATTAAATATTCTTTGTGCTACTTTTTCATTTATTCTAATTTTTTTTTTTTTGCTATTTTGTTCTTTTTCTCCCACACTGCAGTGTTAAAATGTACCTTTCTCCTTCAGAAAGTGTAGTAACCAGAAATTAGTTGCAGTTATTGACTATTACTACTAGGTTTATTTTGTTACACTTGTCATTGTTTGAAAAGTTTGTGTTTTTGTAGTGTCATGTTTGTAGATGTCATATTTTACCTTTCAGATAGTGCCCTCAGAGCTTAAACTAAATGCTCCTTAACAGACTCGGAGCCTGTATTAGTGCCATTTTGAATTGAAATGGGGGCTGTACAAATAAATAAACCACAGTCCATTGTCTCTTCCCTCAAATTTCTTTGTATCCTTCATGTATAAGGCATTAATTTGTTTCCAATTTTGAAATTTTTGTGTGTTTTTTTCTTTTTTAGGAAAATATTACTTTTACGATAATTACTTTGACCTGCCAGGAGCTCTTCTGTGTGCCAGGGTGGTGGATTCCTTAACAAAGGTGAGTAAACATTGATTTTTTTWAAAAAAAATCTGATATGTGTTCAGTCATAAATCAGATGATTTATCACATATAACTTTTGAGTTGAGATTTTATTTACTTTATTCTTTGTGGTTTCAAAGGTGACCAAGGAAGAAAGACATGGCAAATTTGGTCAAAATATTTTTGGGAAATTAAGTAGCAGTGGCCGTTTTTTTTCCCCCAGGGAACATAAATATGTTCTCCAGCAGGGGGTGCAAAAGTCTAGAAAAAGAAAATACAGAACTGATCTGAAAGAATATTTTCTTGGTTTCATTTGCAGAATAAAAAAGAGTAAAGGCAACTAAGAACATTCTATGTATCRTTAAGCATTCTAAATAATATAAAACCAGAAAAATTAGGTAAGATTTTGTTGTTGTTATTGCAGGGATTGAATCCACGGGTGCTTAACTGCTGAGCCACATTTCCAGTCCTTTTCATTTTTTGTTTTGAGACAGCATTTCCCTAAGTTACCTAGGGCCTCACTAAATAGCTGAGGCTGGTTTTGAACTCATAATCCTCCTGTCTTAGCCTCCCGAGTCACTGGGATTACAGGTGTGCACCACAGTGCCCAGCAAGATGAAATTTTTAAATTCATTTTCTGAGTGCAGTTTAATATATTCATACTTTTGCTTTGTACTACATATCAAGATGAAGTAGCTATTCATACTTTGAGATGAAAACCTATGAATGTAAATGGGTTTACATTTCAGAGTTGCTTTCCTTTTTGCACATATTTTCTAAATCGCAATGATGTATTCAAATCTTTTGCTTTTTTTGGGTGGGGGGTACCAGGGATTAAACTCAGGCACTCGACCACTGAGCCACATCCCCAGCCCCAGTCAGTGTTTTATAGTTACCACAAACAAAATGTTTCAATTTTTTTTTTTTTTCCTTGTGGTACTAGAGATCAAACCCAGGGCCTCACACATGAGAGGCAGGTACTGTACCACTGAGYTATGCTGCCATTCCAAAATGTACCAGTTGTAAAGCAATTTATAGTTTAATTGTATACAAATGTCTAGTATTTGTTTAGATAAGACACTGGTCAATGTTTCCAAGGAAACAAAGGGCTTTAGAAGTGTTTTTTTTAATGTAATATTTATTTGTATTCTGGTTAAAAAAATTCTTCATAAAAATGACTTGGAATGATTTGGAATTGAACCTAATTCATCTCTCCTATAATGACTTGCTGTTCTTTTACATTGAGATTCAGGATCAACAAAATCTGAAATAACCAGCTTCTAGGCCTTAGGGCTTCAGGTTTCTTGGCTCCATTGATAGCACAGTACGTTAAGTAACACATTCTGATATCTCAAACCATGCTATACTCTAAATTTGCTTATGTGTTTAAAATATTCTATGACTTTTAGACTTTATAAAAATTTATATTTTGGGTTGCATGAGCTATATTAATATTTAGTCATATACATTTGTATATGTGTATGTGTGTGTGTGTGTAGTAATTTTCACGGAAGAGTTCTCTTTCTAAAATAACACAAAGTAAAAGAGAACGTTATTAACCTATTGTTTTCTAAAACATAAATCCTTACCTTAGAATCCAGTAATATTATAATTGCCATCCCTTTCCACTGTGCTTAGAAACAGAATTATTGTATTTGTTACATATGGAATTTTTTTTTTTTTTTTTTAGCAGAAGAGTGATCAAAAAACATTTGATTTTTGGAAGGATATAGTTGCTGGTATACAACACAATTTTAAAATGTCAGCTTTTAAAGGTAAGTAACAAAGAGAGGCTTTCTGATACATGTTTGTTAAATACTGTGTGTCTACTGAATTAGAAGTCGTCTCTTTTCCTATGCTCCTTAGTGAGGATTTAATTTGATCTTAAATATTGTTGTGAAGTTTGTTCTAGTTTTAAGAGGTTCTTTTATTCATGTCTGTTTCTTGGTCATAATTGCCAATATTCAAGTATCTTTCATATGCCTGCCAGTATTGTGCTAAAATGAAGGTGCTTTCGTTATGCTGTTCTTTTACATTGAGTTGTTCTGTKCGTTCCCTAGAACTAAATATTCCAGTTTTGCTGTGTTCTGGCTTGGGAGTGAGGATTGGTAATGCCTGCAACCTTTAACATAGTAGTTATAGATGGGTGGGCAAAGTATCTGCCAGTGGAAATTCCATACTTGTTGCTTAAGGAACAGTAGTGGTGGGGCCAGAATGGGGTTCGGCCAGCCTTGAGCCTGGGGTTTTATGTTTTCATTTGAACATTTGCTCACATTACTCAAAGACTAATTCTAAGGAATAAATAGATGACTTCATCCCAGTGACTAGAAACAGACTGCCCTGATTCAACTAGTGGGCTGATGGATGCTGAAGAGCAGTGTTTTTCATCTTAAAATCCTTGCCTTTGGATTGRCATTTAAAAATTGCTTGCCTTCCTTTCAATATAAATCAAGCCATCAAAATAATTTTAAGTATTATGACTAAAAAACATGCCAAGGCAATAAATAGTAATTGCAGAATATTTTTTCAAATTATGTATTTCTCTGACACCTGTCACTTTGCCTCCCAGAAAAGAAGCTCTACCTTGGGGTGACTTTTGTCACTTCTCTGTGCCCACTTATTAGCCCTTGACCCTGGCTTCTAAGCCTCACGTGGTTTTGTGGGTGCCTCTTCTCAGTCTACTTTGAGTTCCAGGGATTATGGAATGCCCATCTTCAGTAGAGGGTCATAATTGATAACAATCATAAAAGCTGCGTATCACTTCATTGTTTTTCCTCTTCATTAACTTTGTAAAATGAATAGCCTTAAAAGCATGGATGAAATAGCAAATTGTTACTTTCAAGTAAATTCAGCATAAAAATCTTTTAATGTTATTTTATTGCTTTGTAAATGAGTAGATTAAATATTTCGTGCTTTAGTGATGCACAGCTTAAAAGTTTTAAACAATAATATAAAAATACAGTACAGAGCATAAATAAATAATGTCTTTTCATTTCTAGCAGATTTTGAAATGCTTGACATTAATTATAATTTCACCAGAATAAGAAGCACAAGATCCATTTGCCAATGTTATTTAAACCCACACAATGATATTACATAAGTCTCAGTTAAGGGATCAAATCAAATCAATTGCTTGTGTTAAATAAATAAGAATAGGTCAGACACCTGTTCCAGGTTTTACTGGGTATTTAAAAATCTCTTCTGCAATCCCAAAAAAGTTTGAAAAGTTCATAACGAAAGCACCTTCATTTTAGCACAATATTTTGATTTCTTATGAGAGCTTCAAAAAAGCATAYATGCACCTATATATTTGAATCAATCTTAATGAAAGGGGCCATATAAGCCTTATATTATGCACCATCTGAAATAGCTTAGGGTATACAGTGTCTTGAATTTCAGTATTCAGGTATTTAAGTTCTATTAAGTTATGTGATACCTCCCAAATATTTCCTAAAAGCTCTCATATTAGTTGTTAGAATAAAGCTATTTTAAAAAGAAATGCTAAGTTTCTGAAACCAAATTTAATGTAATTTAGAAGCCTATTTCTGGGCATTTATGTGTGATAATTTGTTTTAACAGCAGAAATTTTTAAATATTGAAGGAGTTGACAGAAAATCTCTTAAGAGGCTTAGGATTGCTGACTAGAAACTCATGAGGATCTTCACATATTTACCATTGCTGCTTATATTTACCAGGGGAAAATTAGTTGGTCTAAAAATTCAAATGTGTATTTTGGAAAATTAAAATTGTATTATTTTCAGCCTACCTCTGTATGCATTTTATGGGGTGGAATGGAGTTAGGGAACACCTTTCCAAGCAGAAGATTTAGTTAGCTCCATGAGAATGTACTCACATGGGAGCCACTAAGAATCCTGAGAAGGAGGAATGGACATACTCAGAGGAGTACAGGCCATTTGACTCAGCATTAGGCAGCTGGAGCCACACCTGGTCATTTTCTGTGAGATCGATTATGGCGCTCCCTGAAGCCTGATCCAGGTAGCCTTTGGTATACTCATCATAGGTGTACATTATGGGGGTGCCATTCTTATATAGACCTACCCAAACATGAGTCCCTTTCACATGCACATGGTAGGAGAAATAGTATATTCCTGGTATCCTACAGGTAAAGATTCCAGTTCTTGGGTCATAATGCTGTTGCCTGTTATACAAAATCTTATCAAATGGGATGGGAGCACCTATTGCTGGATAGGCTTTAGAGAGAATAACAGTAAAAGCAGACACAGGCATTCCTGTTACTCCCTGGTTGGCACTAACAAGAGGCATCCCAGAAAGACTGGGCCTTTGTCCTGCCTTTATAAAGCCCTCGGGCATGACTGCTTGGCCTGGGGGCCCAGGGGGTCCTGGAGGCCCTGGGAGACCAGGCTGTCCATCGTGGCCTCTTGGACCTGGAGGCCCTGGTGGTCCAGTGGGTCCATTGAGGCCCTTAGTTGCTATGCCAGCTGGACCAGGAGGACCTGGATTTCCAGGATCACCTTTAGATCCAGGGAATCCTGGGATACCTGGTGGCCCAATGGGACCTCTGGTACCTGGTATTCCAGGAGCCCCTCTTGGACCAGCCTCACCATTGTGTCCAGGCACTCCCTTAGCTCCTGCTGGGCCTACAGGGCCCGGAAGACCAGGAGGTCCTACCATTCCAGGGTCACCTTTTGGGCCTGGTAACCCTGGATTACCCTTGGGACCACTGAGACCTGGTTCTCCTGGGTACCCTGGTTTTCCATCTAAGCCGGGAGAACCCCTTGTTCCTCTGGCTCCAGGTTGTCCTGCAGGCCCAACTGGCCCTGTCTCACCCTTAGGGCCTGGGAGACCATGGTTGCCCGGGATGCCTTTTGGTCCTTGGGGTCCCATATTTCCAGGAGGTCCAGTCAGACCTGGCTCCCCAGGATGACCTGCTGGCCCCTGTTCCCCTTTGGCACCTGGACCCCCTGGAAGGCCAACAGGTCCTCTTTGTCCCTTCAGACCAGGTAAACCAGGTTTCCCAAAGCCTGGAGCTCCTGGTGGCCCAGCTATTCCTGGAGCCCCAGGGTGACCTTTTGCCCCTGGAATCCCTGGCTGACCTGGAGCCCCAGCAGCTCCTGGCTTTCCAATGCCTTCTGGTCCTCGTTCTCCAGGAGGACCTTGGGGACCTGGTGGGCCAGCCAGTCCCCTTTCTCCTGGAAAACCCCGATCACCTTTGATGCCTGGCTGTCCTGGAAACCCATTTTCACCTCTTTTTCCTACTCCAGGAGGGCCAGGTGGTCCCATGGGACCCTGAGGGCCTGGAAGGCCCCTCTCACCTGGGCGGCCAGGAGCACCATACCCTGTTTCTCCTTTGGGTCCATTTACACCAGGGACTCCTGGCACACCCTTTTCTCCAGGAAAGCCCCTGGGTCCTGGGGCACCTACAGGTCCTTGTTGTCCAGGTTTTCCTGGCACAGAAATTCCAGCTGGGCCAGGGATTCCAGGAGGCCCCGGTGGTCCCCGTGGTCCTGGTAAACCAGTCGGTCCAACTTCTCCTTTTGGTCCGTATGGTCCTCTCTCCCCTGGTTTTCCTGGGAGTCCTGGCACACCWGGTTTCCCGGTAGCTGATGGTCCTGGTGGTCCTGGCAACCCTGGCTCTCCCTGGAGTCCAGGACTTCCGTAGCCTGGTTTTCCTGGTGGTCCAGAAGGACCTGGGTGCCCTCGAGGTCCTGCAGGGCCTGGTGGGCCAGGAATACCTTGCTCACCTCTTACTGCTACACCTAAAAGACACACCAATATACCACCCAGAGAGGGGGATGATTAGTAACATTAAAGTTGATCAGTGTTTCTCAAAATGTCAAACAGGACAGGGCAGTGCGGTGTCATTCATTCCATACTAGTCTTAGACCAAGCTTAACTAGGTCTGGATGATTCATTTTACAGTGTTTTAAAATTACTGCTAAAGAGAGAGTTTTCCATGGCTACCACTTTCTTCATAACCTGATGATCTAAGATAAGTTGACATTGAAGATTTCTTCAGAATAAGAGTAAGGTAGACAATTTTTCACATTTATTTTGGAAAAATCATCTACATAGGTAAGAAAAAAAGATATTTGACAGAAAAGGAAGAGAAAGACAAGTGGAGAATAAATAAGAAAAATTTATAGAGCTGTAAAGATTTTTCCCTCACAAAAGCTATCCTGGAAGACATAAATGAGTAATGGAATTAATTCTAATTTACATCTGCCACACCCTGCTGAATACTTCAAATTTAGGCTGATATTTTTTAAACTTCAGAATATATTATGGTTTTTTATTCTTTTCCTTATTGACTTAATTGGAACAAAGAATTAGTTAATCAGATATAATGGGTAAKTATATAAAATAGGATTAAAGTGTTTATCTAAGTGCAAATTAATGTTGTTTGATTTTATAAAGCTATTGGTTTAACTTCTGATGGGCTAAACTTAAACTCAGTGATCACTTATTTAGTACCTGTGATGTGAAAAGGCCACAAATGTAGGAAAGCACAAGTTGTGTCCTATGGAGGATTCAATCCTAGAGTGAAATGAGTGACTACATAACAAGAGCTTTTAAGAGGTATCCCAGGCTATTTTGGTCACTCAAAGATGGGTTGTAGCAGGGCACTGCAGGCATTAGGAAAGTGTTACCACATTAGTCTTTTGACATTAATCTTCATAATCATCTGCATAAAATTTTCTTCTTTTATCAGGGAAATTCTTAAATAGTTAGCCAAGATGACATAAAGTTGCATGTGATTTTTAATATTTACTACAGAATTTGTATTAAAATTGTTTTCTGTTTATGTTCAGAAACATAAGATGCCTACTTATTATTTAGATTATTAGGTTGTTGAAAAACTGTTCATAGTAATATTGACTTAATGATGTAATATCAGTTGGATAGGTTGCTTAAATCCTGAAAATCATTTATGGCCTGACTTTTTTTGGGGGGGGGGGGCAATGTGGAGTATTAAACCCAGGGCCTCATGTGTGCTGAGCAAGTGCTCTACCACTGAGCTAATAAGTCCCTAGTCCTGTAGCTGTGACTTTTGAGTCACATTTGTTTAAAAAAAAAAATAGTGGACTTAAATCTTAAATCTTTAATAACTTAAAAACTCAAAATGCAGGCTAAAATAGAATTATTATCAAATGAATTGAAAATAATTGTAAATTGCCTTTGAAAGCATTTTGGAGTATTAATTTCCTTGAATCATTAGCTGTCAGTACATAAACATATTAAAATTGAAAAAAAAAAACCCTCTTATTAATTGACTGCTATATAAGAAATAGTTAGCCAAGAGTAGGTACTAATTTCTATTAGATAGAGCTGYAGAGGTGTTCCTGAGATTTAAAAAGCATTTGACCTATATAAAATATAGAATAAATAATTGAACTAAATATGCTGAAATAGGAGGATATTTGTTTAGATTTAGGAACTTTTGTATTTGTAGTAATTAGTTATATTTCAGTTTTCAGACATTCAAACATAGCTTTTCCCATGGACTTTCAGAAACTTATAACAGGAAAAAGATTTATATGAGAAATTAATTTATGGACATTTCCATATATTAACACACATTTCATTCACTGACTTTAGTACATGTTCATGATGGATCTATATGTAAAACTGGATTTAGTATATTACAAGTAGAATAGGTGAATAAGTAAGGGATTTCTTAATGGTTTGGAATAAAATAGCATTTTTAATGCAGAYTATATTAGTTAGGGGTTTGCTTAAGAATCTGGCTATAAGGATCATGTTCATACTGAAATAATTGTCCAACTAGAAATCTGTTGCACTGCTAAAAGAGGTAAAACATATCATATCTTATTGAAAATGATCGTGTTGGGCACCTTTTAAGGCCAGAACTCCAATAACAGGGTGATCTGTGTTACTTGAAATGTTGCCCTAATGGTTCTAAACCTCTTGGTGTAAGACAGAATTTGACTTCTATTGAATCTCTGGAGCCCCTGTTTGTAGCTTGCAAGCTGAAAAAACAAGATTAGGGTGGCACCATCCTTAAGGAAAAGTGACAACCTACTAATAAGTTTCTTAAATGTCCACAAACTGAAATAGTGGTTGGTTGTGTCAGAATGTGTTACCTGCGTCTGCCTAGCAGCTGTAGAATCCTCTGCAGCATGATTTAGTAGTGTTTTAATGGGATCCTCTTTTAGCCTGTGCTGAACATATGTGCCTAGGAATTACATATGAATTCTGAATTTCTGTTATCAGCTTAACATTTTCTTGTAATGCATTAGTGCCTGCCATGTGGATGATGATACGTTTGATTTTCTGTCTTATGTTATCAAGAAGAGACCAAGGAGGATTAATGTTAAAGGATAGCTTCTGAARTTCTTATTTAACAAGATGTTTTCATTTGTTCTACAAAAATAGCCAGGATGTTCAAGTACATTAATGTGGGAAGACAGAAATAGGTTTAACTTTCTACAATGGTGCAATTTATTTTTAATTCAAGATTGTTTATTATGATTTTGGTAAGGTATATAGGAGTCTGAATTTGTGATCAGAGAGAGTACTGAACCCATTGTTGCCTGTCATAGCATTTCACATCACATTTGTTGCTTCAAGTGAGGTAGCATGTCCTTATCTTTTACTCTTTCTTTCCTGGCTTTTTCTTTCTCTTAATTTATTTATATTTTAATACATTCAATAATATCTGTTGTGCCTCTGTTTTTAAATATTAGGCTTCCTTTCATGAAATACTCTTGTTTCATCTTTCTTCTCAACAAGGCCATTTGCTTAAATTGGTTGTTCCCTAAAACATATTATTTAAAGTTTATTACAAATGGCTTTAGCTTTATGTACAGGACAGAATATATAACTAAAATGAAAAAAAAAAATATTGTGGAAAGGGAATCTGAAGCCTGAAATCAGTTTATATTGTCCAGTTGATGTTTTCTAGGCAGTTTGTATTAGATGCTGTCCAGTAGAATCAGTGAGGATAAGGCCTTGTCATTGCTCTTTGAGGATTTCTTAGTATTTTATATATATATATATTATCTCATTGCTCTTCCCAGTAGCAGAGAAAGCCATACAGATGAGGAATAGATTCAAGAGGATAGTTAAAATTTATCTAAGACTATGCCAGTAAAGTAGTAATCAGAACTAGAAGTACTATTAGTAGTTTATTAGTATTGTAGTAATAGTGAAACATAAGGCACCTGACAGGTATTAACTCTCTTGATAACCTTCACGGAAGCCCTTAGAGATCAATTGCTCCTTCTTGTTTTACGAATGAGGAAACTAAGGCACAGGGAGGAAAAATAACTTAGACCTGAGGTCACACAGCTAGTACTGTGCATTTAACCAGTAAACTATATGGGATATATAAATAGCTCTGAGGATTGCTACTTCATTTGCCTGTTTAGCTTATTGAAACTTATTGTGTATATTTGTAGACTAGTTGAATGTGTTTTAAAAGTAAATGTGTGGTTAGAACTGTTGCTCAGTGGTTGAGCGCTTGCCTAGCATGCCTGAGGCACTGGGTTCAATCTTCAGYACCACATAAAAGTAAATAAGTGAAATAAAGGTATTGTGTCCATTTACAACTAAAAAACATTAAATTAAAAAAGTAAATGTGTGTAAGTATTTAGATATATTAGCCTTCTATTCTCTTTGTGTAATTATTTTTAAATATTTTAAATTTAATTACTTTTGGTTGAATTATTATATTTGGATTATAGATAGTTATTTGTACAAAAGTATCATTCTAGGGAAGAAACTTCATGTATTAAAAGTCTTTAATATTTTTCTGTTATATTTATTATATTTATTGTACAAGGAGTTTTGTTCTTCATTCACAAATTATTTTGTTGTAATTTGGACTAATTTAGGAATTTTCAATAGATAATACCAGAGTTGAAAGCATTTTGTTAAAGACATCATCATTAAGATTGTAGAAAGCAGCAGCCAGCTAGTTACTAGAGCAAAATATGCAATTCAGTTTACCTTTACTCTTTATGGTGTAGGGAATGAAGAACTGGGTCTTGGTGTTGGGTGGTGGGCCTTTTATGCCAGTGGGTGTTTGGTATCGCTCAGCATAAAACACTCCATGAACCAAATTCAAGGACATTAGCAGCAAAAGGGCGATTTGTGGCAGCATATTCTCAGGTGGATTCTGGAAAACAGAAAAGAATTATTTCATATAGCTTTGTATTGACCTGTTTCATTTTTCTAACATTGCACAGTTGGAATTCTTTATTTAACTAACTGCTTTTTAACACAGTCCTTTATAAAAATTTCAATATATTCCATAAATTAATGAGAGATAATTATTTAGTTCTGTGAATGTATATCATATTTATTTGGGGAAGCTATATTCAAGTAATCAAGTAAAAATAAAGTGATTTACAAATAAACATAAATAAATCATCACTAGACAACTATATTAAGTCATTCTGGATCTTAAACATATCTTGAAATATCTAGTAGTTTCTAAATACATTGAAATGCAGATTAGGATAAGTTTGTACAGTATGGTTTTTATTGKGATTATTTTATATAGACTTATATTTTATATACAAGTAAACCTCTCTGAGTATATTTTAGTAGAAAGCCATTTTTTAAAATAATGCACAAGGACCCCAAAGAATTAACTTACTTCAATATTAACTTGCTTCTTTTCAARCCAGCTAACATGGAATTCTACAATGACCCTCAGTCCATAGACTTACCTGGGTGCTGGAAGTTCTGGAGCTAGTGTCTGGGTGGCTTTCTGAAGCCTCCTCTGCTCAGGTAGGCAGTGCAGAAGATGCCCTCTCCAAAGTTGCCCTTAGGTATTTATACAGTCTTCCTCCACTGCCTGAGGTTACTCTGAGCTTAAGCCCCTCCCCTCAGAGGTGGGAAGCACTAATTATGGTGGAAAGTTCTATTAGACAGGCATACAAAAATCAGGTTGGCCTCTATTTTTTCTTGTTTTCTTATTGAAAAATAAACTCTTTGTCTTAAATATATATTAATAGTTTTAACCATACCCATTTTTCTGTAATTTTATTTTAGAAATTTTTACTCTAATGTTAGTTCATGTTGGAATGATGATTCCCCCTTATTATTTTTGAAAAGCACATTATTGTGTTGTTTGTTTGAAAATATTTGGTAATATATAAAAATAGGGGAAGAACTCTTTTGGAGGAGGATGTGGATTTAAACCATCATCTAAATTCTTGAATTATTATATAAAGCCACCAATGTATCCATTAATGTTCCTAAATTTTTATAAACATAGCTTAGCTCAATTCTTATATATTTATGGGCTTGAGAGAAAAAAATGAAATGGTGAAATTGTGGGTATGCTGTTTTGCATTTCAGGCTTTTAGTGTAAGTCTTCAGAAGTTAGTAAAAGAAATTTAAAGTAATAACATTAAAATTTTTTAATTTCTTCATTTTAAATATTTAAAAATTTTCAGTCAAATGCAGGATATTTGTGAATTTGCTAGTAGAGTTAGCAATATATTCTTTCTGAAGAATTTAGATTCTTTATTCCCAATAATACACTTTGTTCTGGATATGGCCTCAGACATTCTTGCTTAAATTTGGATTYTACTTTAGAGTTGGAGTAAAGTTTGCAAGAGTCCTTAACTTATATTATGTTTAATCTCATATTACGTTTATTTACATAGGGCTGCTGTGTTCATTTCAGAAATTAAAAAAAAATCCTCAAACTTTGCTTTTAGCTTTTTAAAAATACTCTTGGCTTATATCGCAATTTCCTTCAGGGATCTTGTATCATCTCAATTAAAAACATTTTTCCCCCAAAGGTGGAAATAAACATCATCATTGTCAACTTTACTAGTTAATATTCTCTTTAACAATATTAGAGACTCTTAAAATCAGTTTTCAGGATCCTACAACAACTAATAAAGACAGGAAGTTCAGAGACCAAATTTAGCATCTTATTTAATTTTGTCATTTTGGATCCAAGTCCAGTCAGCTTTACAGATAAATGATTTGAGAAGAAAAATTCCAGATACAGAATAGATAATTTTTGGTATCTCCCTAGAATTGAAGTAGTAGGGTTGAGGATTGATGTGTGATTGAAATAATGGTTTTTCCCCTTTTCCTTTTCCCTCACTCCTCCCCTGCAGGCAGTTTCCTGTGGTATTTAAATAAAGCCTTGTATACTACTTTGCAAAAATGTAAATACAAAACTCATTCACAGTGTTCTCTCTTTCTTTTCTCACTTAAACATTTGTTGATTGCACATTTAAAAAATCTACATTGTCATGCATGTCTTTATGCAATATGCAGATATACATGAAATATGGCTTTGGGGGGGGCAGGTACTAGGGATTGAACTCAGGGGCACTTGACCCCTAAGCCACATCCCCAGGCCTATTTTGTATTTTATTTGGAGATAGGGTCTCACTGAGTTGCTTAGCACCTCACTTTTGCTCAGGCTAGCTTTAAACTTGTAATCCTCCTGCCGCCTCCCAGGATTATAGGCATGCACCATCACGCCTGGCTGAAATATGGCTTTTATATCAATTTAGATTATTGGCAATTGGATAGTTTATTTTAATCAGTCTCATCATTGGGCAGTTATATGGAATGTTTTTTTAATTATATGAACTCGGCTACATCTGTAAGAAACTACAAAAGATAAGTGAAAGAAAACAGCTGTCTTCCATTTGTTTACGGTTTATTTGGACAAGATTTGACAAAGTAGATAAGATTATAAGGTGGTTTTCAGAGCTAGGCTGAAGAATTTGTTTTGAAAGGAATTATTAGAAATGTGCATATTTTAGTATTTTGTGTGTATATATGGTTAAGTGCATGCATACACACACACAGAGGCACGTTTTTATAATACCATTTGATATTATTCCTGTGAACATTTAGAAGATGGATTCCCAGCCCTACATACCTAGCACTTTGCACCTGTGTAGACCATTTGTTCACTGTGGTACTCTATTTTCAGAACTTTATACCTTAAACTTTTTTGATGTCTGTCTCTTCATTAACAAATAGAAGTTTGAACGAGGTGGTGTCKAAGCTCCTTTAGGATTTAAAATTGGATTTTTCTTGCACTCAAGTTTGTTCCCCATGGTCATATGGTAGACTTGGCTCTCTTTCGATTGACTTTAGATTTGCAACAAAAAGAAAAAAAATTATACTAGGTGGTTGTATGTTTTGGGGATATGTAAATATATGTGGGTATTTGTCATTCTATATTCCCCTTTAGCTTTGGGAAATGTGGTGTCTTCGTTGGTAAGCCTTGGACGTTCAACCCTTTTTACAAATAGTGTATTTATTTCAGCACACAGAATCTGATTACTGTTTGCTTTGTTAGTCACATAAGAAGCACTTCTTGTGCAAAACAGATTGTAGAATCAGAATATTTACTAGCCACACCCCACCCAATTGTGTATTTAAAACTATTTTTATTCTTGGTGTTTACTTGGAGCTTTAAGAAGTGACTAGTCTGTGGCTTTATGAAGGAAACTCATTCCATTGAAAGAGTCTTGCTTTGTAAAACCAATTTTCTGAGTGATTTTTAAATCAACTATGAGTGATATTTTTGCACATTGAGCATTTACCTGCTATTAAGTTTGTCTGCTCATTTGTGTATCCCTAGGTCATTCATGAGTTCATCAAATATTTCTTGAGTACCTCTTAAGTGTCAGGCATTGGGATAAATATTGGACGAATAGTGTGTATGCCCTAAGGTGTTTACACAATGTTCTCGACGTCTTTTTCCCATTCTCGCAGTCCTGAGGAGTATGACACAATTTGTTCAATCTTTGGAGTTCATGAAGATAGTAGTGGTTCAGAAACTCAATTTTGCAAAAACTCCTTAGGCAACCATGATCTACTCCTAATGTTGGGATGTTGATATGGTATAATTATCAGATTATTAATATTAGTTATTTACCTTTTTGTTGTTTGTGCTCATTTTTTAAACTTTTATTATAGGAAATTTTGGTCTTACCTACAAGTGAGGATWCTGCATCTAATGAATGCCTGTGTTCCAGTCAATCATTTTAAACTAATCTCAACTCAGTCTACCTTCTATTCATCCCCTCTCAAATTTTGAAACAAATCGCTTATGTTATACTGATTCACCAGTGGATATTTCAATATATTTCTCCAGAGACTAAAAACGCCTTTTCTTTAAAATAGAATATTCATTATATCTAAAAAAGTAATCATTTTCTAATATCATCAATGCTTTAGTCCATCACATTTCCCCAGTTATCTGTTGTACATATGGCATATACCTATATAGACTTATAGACATGTATATATACACAAACATATACATAGATATGTACATGTATATTATATATATATACACATGTATATTTTTAAAGAATCGATTTATTGGGCTGGAGTATAGCTCAGTTGGTAGAGTGCTTGCCTTGTATTTACAAAGCCCTAGGTTCAGTCCCCAGCACTATAAGAAAAAAAAATTGAKTTGTTATTTGTTTAAATCAGGTTTCCTTAATTGCCATTGACTGATATGTCCCCTTTATCTAGGTTTCTTACCTGCATCTCTTTTTTTTCCCCCCTTTGCAACTTATTTGTTGAAAAGCTGGGTTATCTGTCTTGGGCAGTTTCTTGCAATCTGGATATTGTTGTCATTTAATTTGCTCCTCTGCTGATCGATAGTTAGACATACAGTGTTGCTCTCATTCAGGTTTGAAACATACATACACATACACACACAAATGCTTTTGGCAAGCATATTTTACCAATTTAGAGAGTGTGGTTTGTTATATTTCTATTGGGAGGCCCTTTGTTGCTGGTTCTCTGGTGTTACTAAGTCTAATTACTTATACTTATTATGTTATAAGATGGTGATATTCTAATTTTATCATTCTTCCTTTTTTGTTTCTATTAAAAAAACACTCTGTTCAACTGTGGTTATCCTGAGTTATTTTATATATATGGTTATCCTGAGTTACAGTGTGTGTGTGTGTGTGTGTGTGTGTGTGTGAATATATATATATTCAGATGTTTTTCCCCATCTTTGGCCAGTAAGAGCCTCTTCAGATTGCTCCTGAGCCCTTTTGACATGATCCCAGTAATTTTTATAACTTCTTTTCTTCCAGTATTTTGTACTTTTCCTGGCCCAGATCTGTAGTAAGACATTTCTCCACAGAGTCTTACTTCTGTTAGTTGGAAATAGAAGTAGAAACCACAGTATGGGTGTCTGGCTGTTGAGTCTCAGGGATGTACCCTGCTCGTGGGTTGATTATAGTTTCTAGGTTTTCAGTGGACACGAGCCAAGAAATTCATGCTTACAATGTTAACTAAATGTAAAAGATATCATGCCATTATCCTGATATATCTAATTCACATTCAGGACCAGAGTTTTTTCTTAATGACCCTGAACTTGTGTGCATACGTCCATAGCCCCACCCAGAGGATCCCAGTTCTCATGATAATAAAGCATACATTCACTTTATTCCATCATCTTCCTAGTTGTTCTGAATATCTATACCAACATTCACATCATAATTAAAATTAGTTCAACTTTTAAACTGATTACTTTTATGATTCTCTTTAGTATTTTCGCAAAAGCTGTGTAGTCAAACTACTGTTTCAATGTCACTTGAAATGGCTTATTTCAAAATAGATGCTAACCACTCGGTTCATCATTAGGTTTATTTCATTTTGCTTTCAGGGTTTAGGGATTTTCTTTTCAACTTTGATTTTCTTTTATACTTTGCTAACATA